AAGAGAGGAAGGGGAGGAGGTGGTAGACATACAGCAGAACGGCAGGCAGAAGACGACGAAGACGAACACAGCGAGAGGGTAGTAAGGAACAAGGCGCAGCAGTCGGAGAGAGCATGTAGTGGGGTTGATGGTTGCGTGATCCACTCAATTCGCTTGGTCTTACGTGCGTCGTCTTGTTGTCCCCTATTCTTCTGTTCTTGTGTGCAGTCGTGTCGTTCACGTCGGACCGATAACAACTTCCTTTGCTTCTGGCACCCCTTTCGCGCGTGATCTCTTGTGTTGTTTTGTTAGCCACGAAATTACGCTCATGTTCACGTGTGTGTGTGTGTGTGTGTTTTTGTTTTTGTCAAGCACGATATGCTGCTGTCACCTCCTATTTGTTCCTTCTTGTTTCACCACGAAAAAACACGGACACACTCAAGGCCACCAGTTGTTTTTTGTTTGTTCTGTTGGCCACGACGTAAGACGGTCACCTATTTAGTTGTTATCGTTCTGAACGGGAAAAAACACACTCGAAGGTCACCTGCGGCTACGTCATCTGCCCCCTCGGCGAGAGCCGTCGACAACGGCGCGCCAGCAAGTCGATCAAGTCCGCCGCCCCCCCGGCGGCCAGCGGCGGCGACCCCGCGGCGGCCGGGGTGGGGGGAAGCTCGGCCGCAGCCGCCACTGCCGCGGCGGCGGGGGCGGGGTCGAGGTCCATGGAGCTGAGGCCCAGCAGCGAGTTCACGATGTACGCGCACACGGACCTCGGCGGCGTGTTACCGGCGAGCGTGATCAACAAGCTCTGCAAGAAGCCGGCGTACCGAGTACTGCGGAAGGTGATCCGTTTTGTTTTTTTTGTTCGGTCAAAGGTGCAGTCGTGTCTCCGATATATGAGGGTTGAAATCGGTCGCAAGCACTCGACCCGCTCTAGGCATAGTTGGGTACCCTATTGTTCCGGCATCAAGGGGGGCTCCGATATAAGAAGGTCGACGGCCTTGATCATGACACCCTCTTCTATAAGAGCCACGACTACTGTGGTGGTCTAGACGGCCCTCTTTTCTTCTTTTTTTTTGTTTTTTCGGGAAGGGTAGTGGTCTAGACGGGGAGGCGAGAGTGAGTATTTTGTGATGGTTGCTGTCGCAGTTTTCCATTCGGCCCCAGCGGCACTTGTATGTATGTTGGTTCTAGTGACGATCGTTGAAGGGGTTGTTTGCCTTGTGCGAAACACGGTGCACTACCGCCCCGCCCTTCTCTATGCGCCGAAACGGTTCTCCGAAGCAACTTGTATCCTACAACTGGTAAATGTTAATATTTCTTATGTGGTGGGAGTGTGCACTAAATGTCTCCCCCTCCCCCCGTTTTCCCTTCTCGCATGTTCCGTACCCAACTTGTTCAAACTTCTTCGTCCATAAATATCTTGCAACAGATCCAGGACATGATCGCGACCGACACGCTCGTAAAGCGCGGAGATGACGGGAGCTCCGCAGGGGGGAGTGCCGGGGGGGGGTGGCCGCTTGCCAGGTCCGGCTTGAACATGCCGAGAACGGATTCCGAGGACGTGCTGGGGTCGCTGCTGGCGGAGGGGATGCCGGACCGTGCGGCGGCCGCAAACCTTGAGAACGTGCCGGAAGGGGAGGTGCGTGCGTTATTGCGGCGGATGTTGGTGGTGCAGGTGGCGACTATTGTTGTTGTTGTTGTTGTTGTTGTTGTTATTTTTGGGGTGGTTAATCTGCTGTGGACAGCAGTGTCAATAAGCATCACCCCCTCCCTTGCAACCACGCCATGACGCCCCCCCCCAGATGGAGGGCGTTGCTTCCGGCGCGGAGACGGAGACGATGGGAGGACACCAACGACGAGGGTCTCACAGCAGCGGCGGCGGCGGGGTGAGCGGCGGGGGACGAAGAGGGAGCATGTCGCAGCAGGGGCAGCTGCCGCCGGCGCCGGCGCCCTCCCGAGCGCCGTCCCCGTTCCTCCCGGGTCTGTCGCGAGCGTACGCGATCTCCGAGGCGCAGCGCATCATGAGAACGCTCAACAGGATGGCCTCCGATGAGGCGTTAGGGTGGTCTCAGCTGGGCGTAGCGGCTCACAGGTGAAACCCAAACTTGTCCGATTCTATAGCCACTTTATGTTGTCTTCATTTCAAATCAGCGCTCACAGCATGTGTTGTGCCGTATACTCCAACCCGTTGTCACACTGAAGGGTTCCTCTGTCTGAGCCCCTCTACTCACTCCCTCCTGCTGTGCTTTGCCTTGGATTATCAAGGCGAGAAGGGTGCAGCACTGTCTTCTCTCGATGTACACACGAACTAGCTTTTCCCACCCAAACCAGGAACGGAAGCGAGAGAAAACCTCACTTTGCAAAGATACCAACTAGACAACCATATGTCTGCTTGCTTAGAAAATCATGGGTAGACTACCAGACGAAAACGGTGTGCTTAAAGCGGGGACGACTGCTGTACACCAGCACTCATTTGTTGTTTCTTGTCTTAGTCGTTGAACGGTTGACCAGGGGTCACTCCTTTTCATCATCAGCTCCTTCCCCTGGTAGGGGCGCCGCCGACGGTCGAGCGCTTTTGTTGTTTTTGCCGCACGTGTGCTGTGAGGGGGAGGGGGCGGAGCCTTCCCTCATTGTCGTGCACTGTGACGGTGATATTTTGTTGCCGTGGACCCCAGTAGTGCAAACAAGTCGGGAAGGAGGACGTGTTTTGTGGGGGTTTCGCCTACCAGACAGGCGATTGTCGAATCGAAGAGCTAAGCGCCAGCAGGGACATGCCTGTTTGGTTTGGGCAGTTTGGAGCGAGACAACTGCTGTGTACAACATCGCCACGCTACAACAGGAGACTTTCGATGCCAATCCCATCCGGTTATGTTGCCCTGGTGGATGTCGCCATACGTTTTCGCGATTATCCCTTGTTTTGGTGGGGAATTTCACGTGGTCGGTTCGCAGCCAAAGGACTGCAACATCAGCATAACTGTTCTAGTGGGAACTTCTGTCTCTAAAAGGAAACGGCTCTGGAATTCATGCCGGCCCTCGTGCGCCCCCCCCCCCACCCCTCCCTGTCTGATCGTCTAATCACGCGATCGATCTCAGTGACATGGCGCTGTACAAGAGTCCCGTCGCCGGCACCAAGAAGGTGCGGCTGGGAGCGAGCACGTGCGTGAGCGCGCTGCCGTCGGAGCTGGTGGGAATCCTCCTGGAGAACGCGGCCATGCTGGGACCGGACTACATCGTCGACAGGCAGGAGGTGAGTAAGTGGGGGAGGAGAATCATGAATATATCGTTTCCATAAGAAAACACTAGAAAATTCACTGTAATGACTTGAGGCTTGTCCAAATCACTCGTTGTTGGTGTGTTGGTGAGAAAGAAAAAACATACCTTCCAACGGGGCTAGTAGTCGTTGCCAGCAAGTGTGGGGTGCACTCATGTAGTCGCTCTTGCCGTAGCCAAGTATCGGCGTTGTACGAAGTACTCGTTTTTGTGACGAACGACGGATGGTAATGCGGTGCTCGTGACAGCAGTGTCGTTTTGTTGCTTACGCGCGATTTGAAATACACACACAGCTGCTGGAGACGTTCAGCTCCGGCGTGAACACCGGGGAAGGGCTGGCGGATGCCGCGGCGAGGGCGGCAGGGGAAGGGCCGAAGCACGACACCGCCGTCTACTGGTTCAGCTGCACTCACAAGCGACAGGTACAGCACTGTGCATGGGTGTCTGTATGTCTTACCTACGCCGACCTTAGTTGATGGTGGTACATGGTGTGGAATCCCATGAGGGTGATGGTGTGTATACCAGGTGTCTGCCTCTTACCACACCGACCCTCTGTGGCTCGTGGCGCCTTTTGTTGACGACGAGGAAACGGTGGGTCTGCCGCCTGCTGTGAAGCGGGCGGTAAGGGTAATCTACCACCGGTTCGGGGCAGGCGCGGCATGATTGTGCGTATGCTGGGGTGTTTCCTTCTCCTCGTCGGACTCAGCTGGAGAAAAACGCTACTGTTGCTGGTGTTGGTGCTGGTGCTGTTGTTGATGTGGGGGTGGGGGTGGAATTCGCCTTCACTTTATCAGGAAACGTTCCGGCCTCCACCGCTCTGTACCTTCGTTTCGCTGCTGTAGATCGTGGCCACTATTGAACATTATCTCGTAGCAAGGGGCTATCTACGTTGGGCAAAGATTTGCAGGCGGTGCTGGCGATCGGGCGGCTGTGCACGTGCGACCTTCGATTGTCGACGCCGACGCACACTTTGCTTCCGGATAGACCACCGACACTCCTCTACCCCCTCTCCCGTTCACTCTCCCGTGGGGTCATCGCACCTCTTCCTGTGCGTGGTGCGTGGTCTTCGTGGCGCCCCTTTTGCTTACTGTTTCAGCGCATCTGCCGAGATTTCGTTATCCTGCGCTGCTTCCGCCCGCTGCCGGGATCCGGCGGGGTCATCGCTTACTCTTCGGTCGACCACCCCGGACTACCACCGTGCCCGGACTACGTCCGCGGAAAGCTCGATGTCTCGGGGTGAGAATGTTGGAAATTTTCTTTGAGGTTCGGATTTTTTTATTCAGCAGCGTATTGAGGGGTGGAGCTGCTGGATTGTGTATTTCGCGCCTTTATTTTTGTGTTCCTCGCTAAAGCAGCTACTGCTGTATATTGAGTAAGACTGGTGTTAAGCAAAATTAGGTAAAGGAATCGCGCTCCACGTGCATTGATCAAGTCAAGACGGCGCCGTCGATTGCAGCAACCGCACCAGGCCGGCAGTGCCATCGAGCCGGGACCGACACAAAACGCCTCAATCATTTTTCTCCCTTCGTTTCTTGCCGCCGTCCGCCACTTCTAACGCTCGTGTCCGCCCTCTTTCCTGACCATGCCCTCGTGTGCGCGGCGCTTGTCCTTTTCGTCTTCTTCGCCCTTTTTCCTCCCTTGTGCGGCGCTTGTTCCTTCTTGGCGAAAAAAACCCTCCGCTCGCGACCAACGACAACAACAACGCAGGTTCGTGATTCTGCCGAGCCCCCAAGAGGAGGGCGGCGGCAATGGCAACGACAACGACGACGACGGCGACGACGACGAGGCCGCCCTCCACCACTCGGACGCCGAGCACAACCGCCGCGGCGGGCCTCGCCGAAGTAAGCGCCAGCGTTGGCGGGGAGGCAAAGGTGGAGGGGCGGCGGCGGGACGCCGCCGCTCTCGGTCGTCTGCCTCGGCCATTGGCGACTACGGAGACTCGGACGAGGAGGAGGAGGAGGACGAGGCGGCGGAGGGGGGCCCGTGGATGGGAAGGAGGGGAGGGGGGAGGAGGAGGACGAGGCGTGCCCTGGCGAAGGGCGGGGATGAAGGGGGGGCGGGTGGCGTGAGCGAGGTCACGTTCTTCACGCACCTGACGTTCAGCGCGTACCTGCCGGATTTCCAGGAGATGGAGGCGTGCCGGCACTTCGTCGGGCCCTTACACATCCTGCAGGTTTGTTGGCGCGTTTGCATCACGAGCGCCTGCCTGCCTGCCTACCTCATCACATGGGAGAAAACAAGTCGCGCAACAACACCAAACAAGAAATTAGCTTAGAAGGGACGACACGAGTACGACATCGCCAAAAGGGTACAAGACATGAATCGGTGGCTCGTGGTTACCCGCCGCAACCGCAGTCAGTATGCAGCACTGGTACCCAGACCTATTTCTAGCTTGACCCGTAGTCCGTATACCAACACCCGAAAGTTGGGCAGGTTGAACTATCGTTTTTGAAGAGCAACATCAACAAAATAGTAGGCGTGCGGCCGCAACAGGATGCAGTCTAACGAACTACCTTATTTGTAGTCTAACGCCGTAACACAACACACGAAACGAACGAATGACTCTAACAGGAGCTCAAGTGGGTCGTGGAGCGCACCCTTGGGTCGTTTCAGGAAGACGACGAGGTGCTGCACGACGGGGCCCCCAGGATGGGAGCGGGGGGCGCGGGAGGGAGGGCGGACTGGGGGCACGTCTTGTCTCGAAGGAGGTAGAGTACCACTCGCACGCGTGTGTTGGCTTCATTACATTTCTGCGATCCGCAACAAATCGACGAGTCTTTTTTGTCTATGTTGGCACCTTTTCTAGCTTCCAAACAAGAAATAATGCTGTTCCTCAAAACCCAAGAAAATACGATGTTGAACATCATCATTTTTTATAATGAACATGGAAATATTTGTTGTAGCCTAGTCTACATATCTCCGTGGCAGTGACAAAGGTACATGTTCATGTTTACCTTGAGAACACCGCCGGCTTGACTCGGACGCTTCAGTTTGCGCAAAATATATGGCTCGGAAGTGTGGTGGATATTTGTCAACATGCCATGCAACCAGCATGGGTTCTTCTAAGGGGTCCACGCCGTTCTACCACGCGTACCCCCCCCACCCCAGGTACCTGCCTTTTTCGTCCCCTCGATGCCTCGTCGATATATACCCTCACCTCAAACCGTTTCATTTTTTTTTCCTTGGTCTTCCTCAGGTCCTCGAGGTCCGAGAGACGGTCGTCCGTGGCCGCGGAGGAGCAGGAGGCGGGGGGGGCGGGGGCGGCCCGGGTGGACACCAGCGCGGGCGAGGAAGAAACGGAGGGCGGCACGATCGGTAAGTCCGCCACGCCAGGGCGGCAGGGCGAAGGACGGCGTTTCTCTGTCTCTCTTGTGTGTGTCTCTCTCTGTGTCTTTTGTCTCTCTCTCTGTCTTTCTCTCTCTCTCTCCTCTCTCCCTCTCCGCCTTCCTCTCTGTCTCTCTGTCCTTCGCTCTCTCCCTCTCGTTCTCTCTCTCGTGCGCGGTGTGTTTCTGCCCGCGACGTTATTGGTGTTTGTAGATGCATTGTTCGTGTGTCTGTGTTGGTACCCATCTTTTCGGGCGCCGGTGTGTCTATACCCCTATATCGGAGGGCCACCCGTAGCATTGTGTGTGCAAACGTGTGCCTGTGCCGTGCAAAGGCGTTGCTGGGGGTATATCTTTCTCGGCCCTCTGCCTCGTCGTGCCTTCATTGCGCCGTCCGAGAAGATGGAGTAAAACGAAAATCAACCAGCAGGGCATGTGTGATGTAGTGTGTCCGCTACACGCCGACATATATGTCCCCGTTTCCCAACCTTCTCCCGCCGCCCCCAATCTCGCCGCGTTTTTTCACCCCAAACGCCGCCGTTCCCGCCACCGAAGACTCTGGCTCGCTGTCGGACTCAGAGTCCGTCCCCGCTCGTGATACGGCCATGGTGTCGAACGCCGTGCTGCTCAGGGTTTCCGCCAGGAGGGAGGCGATGCTGCGCGACATGCTGGCCTTTTCGAGTGACGGGGAGTGCATGGATGGCCCGCAGGTGGGGGTGTCGTCGTCGTCGTCGTCGTCGTCGTCGTCGTCGTTGTTGTGGTTGTTGTTTTCTTGACAATAAAAAGCGAGCTGGTCTCTGCTCAGTACCTTCGAAAGATGGATGAATGTGGTTGATTTATGGAGGTGCCTCGGGTGGCGATTTTCGTCCTAAGCATGTCATCTAGTGGGTGCTCGATCTTCCGACGAGCAACGCTGTGTGTGTGCGGGGGCATGTTGATCTGGGTACTGAAATTTGACGGCGGTTGGTGTGTATTGTATTATTGTTTCGCGGCAGTTTCATCGGAAGTTCGTGCTTTCGATGAAAGCTGTTTGTTGTGCGCACGTTTTCTTCTGATATAGCGACCTTTTCCCTGGCGTTTTTTTTCTGGCCCTCTGTAATGCCCCCAAAAGCGATACACACACATGCACGCCCGCGCGACAAGATTACCAGAAAAATAATCAACCAACAAAGTTTAACGTGGCCAAAATCCGCCGTGTTCTGACCTCAGAGAGGGAGGCAGGAAACACAACGGACGAAACCGCCAGCTTGCTTGCTTGATTGTTGTTGTGCCGTCCCAAACAACGAGAGAGACGCAGAGGACCCCATTATGGTAGGGAAGATGTGAATGAGCACAGGAGACGAGAGGCTTTCAGCGGCGGTGTCGGCTGTTTGTTGTCTCGTGGCCTCTGTTTTTATTCCTCACTGCTGTAGCTTCTTGAGAGCAGGCAAGAGACGGGAGAGAGAGAGAGAGAGAGAGAGAGAAATCTCACGGCAGATCGGCACAGGCAGACAGGTGCTTGAAGAACAGAGCACGAGAGTATACGTACCCACATGCACAAAATAAGGCACCACCAGCAGCAGCTGGCACCATCAGACAGAGCACGGCCGTGCCCGACAAGTCTGCGTCGCTTGGTTGGGTGACATGCTGTGATGTTGCGTGAGCCAACGATACGGGAGTGAAGACCTGGGGGGGGGTGTACTCATAGTCGTGCATGCCGTAGTCGTTAGACCATTGACCTCGCATCCCTACAAAGCCGGGACGGAGCACGCCGGGTTCTCACCGGACCAGGCTCTCACATCACC